GCGGGAGTTAGTTGGTCGCTGGTGATCGTTGCTGGGCGCAATTGACCGCAGGTGATCGCTGCTGACTGCTGGTGGTCGTCGCCACTCCGGATCTACACAATCATTTTCTACATATTTTATCGATTGGTTTGCAAAATTGAACGATATGTAGAGTTTGTAAATAAAATACTAGCGATAAATTCAACAATACTAAATTAGGTATCCCTACTAATTCACAATATCTAAATTTTAAATTTAAATTATGGAAATGAAAAAAGTTTTCTTGACGCTTTCATTTTAGCTTTAATTGAAACCTAATGTGTTAAATTTCCTATTTCCAGAAATACTCTTGTGTATTTCAAATAGAAATTATATTGATTGGAATTGATTGTTTTGTAGCTAAAATAACTGATTAGGGCTCTTTTCTAGTTGTCTTTCATCGCAATCTAATTCTCTTTATTAAAATATCTTTCAAAAATAAAATATGCTTTTCTGAAATTTTATTGGAGGAATATTAGCTGATTTAAAGTATAATTAATTCTGATTTGAAACAAATATTATTTACATTATTCGGACTATTGTCCTCGTCTTTTTCGCCATATCTATCACAACGTTTCGGCAATTGCACGCTCCGGCCTTGTTCAGGTGGTTGGAATGTCGAACTGAACCCTTTATTTCGCTCACTGGGGTAGACTGTTCTAGCATAAATAGAGATAAATACAATATGGGAACCAGTAATAAGGAGTGCCAGAGAAAAGCAATGATAACAACATAGTTGCAATATGATCTCTGGTAAAAACATGCAATGATAACAGCAAAATTGCAAAATGAGCACTGGTAAAAATGGTTGCTGAAGACATTAGGTTTATAATACTCAGAAATTCATACCCAGATGTCTTCAAGGACACATGGCACAGTGGATAAAGTCGTTGGTTAGATCCAGTGACATAACCCAAAAAGTGTGAGTTCAATACCCGGTTAAAGCAGTGGAGAACTTTCAGAGAAATTAACAGAAGATAACTGATAACTGACATCCTGGAAATAGAACAGTCTACCCCACCTGAAGAAGGCCGGAGCGTACAACGACCGAAACGTTGTGATAGATATGGCGAAAAAAGATGAGGATAATGTAAATAATGTACATAATACATCATCTCAGAAATATAGACAGACTCCAAATATTATTTACTTTAAGATTAAAATACTGCAGAAATTAATATTTATGCAAACTGTAGCCTGTGTTTTTATCTGAGAGTAGCCATGTTTATGTGTTTGCCAAGGTGATGACAGATTGATTTTTGTTATTCGGAGACTTTATCTGTTAAATTAAATAATTTAAGAAAATGACGTCACCCCCATTTTTATATAATTTTTTAATCAATGCTGTTAAGTTTGTGTCCTTTTTTTATCGTGCCATGCTTTTTTTTCAGCGAATAAGTAGAGGTTTCAAAACATTCTAGTATTAATAAATGGCAACAAAAATCGTTATCACAGTTCTATTATCCATTTACACAAACCACTCACCGTTGCTTCCTTGACTCTCGAGCCATGACTATGTCTTTCGAGTGCTAAATCTTCCATGTTACCTCTCAGAAATTTCAATATACTCTCCCTGATATATTTCTTCTAGATCCTATTTTTTTTTTTATACATTTAAACGATGCCCATGTGTTCTGTGATTTATAGCAATAATTAAGTTTTGGGCGATTCTTAATGTAGTGTTTTCATTATTCCACGCATTTTTATCAGTTTTGATTTGGTTCTTCACCTTTTTGTAGCTTCATATCACAACTGTTTCAGCCGAGCTATAATTTAATAGAGTTTAACAGCTTAGCCGTTGTGTTAAAACTCAATAACCAGGTGAGAAAATGTAGCGATAACTAAAATAAGTGGGTCGATACAAGAACTCATTCAGTGTGTGTATGAACAGGTCACTAATAGAATGCCTGACTTGTTACTGCTGGCGCGAACAGCGAGTATCAACAGGCAAACGCTTCAGGGTCTACCGGGAGAGTTGAGGGTCGTAGCGGAAGGGGGAATGTCCGCGATAGTGATGGTAAAGGAATGGGTTGAATGTCTGAATTAGGCCCTTCGGTCCTGAAAGGGTGTGAAACGTCATTTGAGCCGACAAGTCTTCCGGTCGGGCGCCATACTTGACAGCCGAATCGACAGACGCCGTTTAAACAAGCCGCTCTGATGCTGGTGCGTGTGTTATGGTGTAAAAGTCAGAGCTGGGTTGGAAGAACGGCCTTGAAGACGGCAAGAAATATATTCTGGGAAATAATAAGGTCCGTCATTTTCGTTCATTGTCTTTATTTATGACTTTTTCTGTGCTGTACACGTTTCCTTTCTCTTCCCATTTTTCATAGCTAAATTTTATATTTTCTTTTTTCTTTTTCTCCTAATGTCTTTTTTTCTGTAATCTACTTTTTTTTAAAAAAAAAAGGTTCATCTTTTTCTAATATTTTTCTTCTTCATCATCTTTTTACTCGCTTTTCTTTCCTGTCCTTATAGTATAACGATTTACATATTTTTTTCTATTTTAATTACTAAATATTTATTCTCTTTTCTTTTTCTGTTCTATATTCTTATTTTCTCTTTTACTTTGTTTTGTATCGATATCTTTATACAGTGTAACCCGGATATAAGAGAATTGTCGGGACCGGAGAAGTATCTTATATCCGGGTTTCTCTTATATCCGGGTTTGGTCTATTTTATATATATTAACGCAGACTCTGATTTGGGACCAGAGAAAATCTCTCTTATATCCGGGTTTCTCTTATATCCGGGTTTGGTCTATTTTATATATATTAACACAGACTCTGATTTGGGACCAGAGAAAATCTCTCTTATATCCGGGTTTCTCTTATATCCGGGTTTGGTCTATTTTATATATATTAACACAGACTCTGATTTGGGACCAGAGAAAATCTCTCTTATATCCGGGTTTCTCTTATATCCGGGTTACACTGTATATAATTCTCTTCATTCTCTCTGTTTTCCTCTTTCTTTTAGAACATCTTTTTTCTTTCTTTTTTGTCTCTTCTTCGTTATTTTCTTTTTCTGTATTGCATATTTACCTCGTTTCGCTTTTGATTCTTTACTAATTTTTTAATTTTCTCACATCATCATTTCTAATATTAAATATTTCAGACGTTACCTCGTTTTCGTTTTTGCTCTTCTTCTATTTCTTATTTTATTCTTTTTTCTTCGATGTTCTTTCTTTCTATTTCTTTTTTTTTCTTTTTTCCTCTTTACCATTTATATCTTCTACCTTTCTTTCACTTTACATTACTGAGCTTTAATATGAAACGATTTTGAAGTTTACATTTATTTTCAAAGAGGAAAGACTTCTAACGTTGAGAATTTAGATTTTAGATAATATCCAAATGTTCTTTTTATTACATTCGATATTGAAATCTCGATTACTGTCCGTTTGTCACTGTAAAATTAATCAGTTCTTTTGTATTATTATACAACGGACTTAATTATTTGAAAAAGAAAATCATTTTTTTAATCTACATAATTGTGTATTTTTGAAGTGATTTGTGTTTATTCAGAAGGCTGTGTTTGTTTATCTCCGTGAAAGAAACTATATTTCCATTTTATAAATAAGTAATACTGTTTCAGTCTTTCTGTTTTTTCTATTTTATCTTTGAAATTTTATTAAAATATGGTAATTTTTTCACTCCCTAGCAGAAGTTAAGGTTAATTTTAATGTGGAACACCCTTCCCTATTCCAGTTTCCCTGAGAGCTATAATCTCCAACTAATCAAATGTAATGTCAATCGATATCTCCAGTTGCCTTGATCTATCCACTATCCTTCTCCTCATCCTTTCCTCTATCACTCCTATCTGAACTTGCTCCAAATCTTCTGTAGTCCCTTGCGTCCTAGTGGCTTCTCGCCTTGCTTGGGGGGAAACGCTTAAAAATAAAAATAATTCTATGATTGTCTTTTCTTTTTTTTTTTTTTTTTTGTTTAATTTAAACTAATTCATGTCCTGATTTTCAAAACTTAAATTAATTGAAGTATATAAATTTAATTCGGATTATCTTCTTTTCTCTAGTAAATAATATTGTTCCGGGAATCGATTAATACTGGTGATGACAATGAAAAAAAAAAATAAAGCGCTTTTCCGTTTTGTTTTAGTTTTGTTGTTTTGATTTTCAGAATTAGCTTATTTTCTGAAAAAATAACAAAAAAATAAAAATAAAATAAATTCCGTATGCGGAAAAAAAAGGGGGATCGATTTTCATCGCTAGACATAACCTAAATACATTATATTTCATCTCCATTTATATCCTTTATACAGCGAATTGGTTTAAATTTTAAATTCATTATTTCTATCTTTGTCTTTAAAGCTTCTTTTCGTTTATGTTTATGTTATTTCTTCTTTTCGTCTTCTTCAGTTAACTGTGGTTATCAAGTACACGTTCGTATGTTCCAGCCACCCAGTGTTGATGGAGCTGCAACCAGTAAAGGGAGATGAACTTTGTAACGGTTACTCGACGGTGGGGCGCCTCTGTTTACTAAACATTGTATAAAATGTCAGAAATTTACTTTAAACATCTGAGAGCAGATTGTAAGAGTTCTCAGGAAATATTAGTTCCAGAATCAGTGAACAAGAAACAATAAAGTTCTTTATCTTTGCTCTTCTTATTTTAGTACTGAATTTACAGAAATTAAGAATATATCAAAGCCTGTTGAAAATATTTTGTGCAAAACGAAGTTCCTGTGCAAGGTACCAAAATTTCAATGACGGTGAACATAAAAGTTTTAACTCACCTACTTTCAAATTCGGATGTAGTTGAGAACACACAAACTTATTTTTAAAAAAAGAATGTAACTAATCAGAAGTGTGATAAGAAATATTTTCGTGAAACTTTTTGTTTATATATATCCCTCACTCACATTATAAATAATCCTTGCTCACCCCAATTTAACGCAATCGACAATCGCCGAAACATGATTTTAAAACATAATCAAATTACTTTGTTTTTTATTACCCATAATGATTTCCACTGCTTCATTCCAAATGTATTTCTTTATTTTTTGCTTGCTGAAAACTCGCAATATATCTTTTTTCTAATATTTTTCTTCATGTTATATTTTTCTCAATATTTTCCAGTCACTCAATTCTATTAATATTGGCAGCAGAATGGCTGCCATATATCATTTATACAATGTAATTTATACGTGTAAGAGTGAGCAGTTTCGTTTTAGAAGCGTTAAAACTGACAAGTCATTTCTTGCTTCCAGTTGACAAGAAACGTTATGTCATTTTCGATATCTGTCGCTTTTATTTCATCGAAAATAATCAGACTTGCAATTAAGGTAGGAGTAAATACTTGTTTCATCATTATAGAAACTGAATCGGAATTGATGTCATTAGAACAATTGACGTCTTGATAATATTAATAATAAGAGTAAATGATCACAGCGTGTAGTCCCGTTAAGAGGTCTCTGAAGACCATGTCACGAGTCGGTCAAAATTACTGAGTGAAAATGAATAGACGAAACTGTTTGAAAGCCATTGGTCGTACACAAGTACTAAGAAGCAAATCATACTATTTGTAGATGGGGGCTTGCTGGGCTTATTCAACAACAGATCATACTGTATTATTCGTTCTCTACCAGAAAATTAAACTATGGTCTGGGCAATAGAATGTCAATATAACCCAGAAGCGTCTGAAACGGATTAGGTAGTCACACTAGTAGACGTCGTATTCTCCCAGAACGGACAATTGCCTACAGTTCTAATTTCGATATTAGTGAGTACTCTTAACCATAAATATATATTTTTCAATAATATTCAACTGAGGCCATATTGAGTGGGTTAAACATAACCCCATCTTTGGTACTGGGCGTTATCTCTATTTTAGATCCCAACAAAGCTAGTGGTGGTGACGGGATACCAACCATTGTCTTGAAGAAATGCGCGCCTGAACTGGCGCCCGCCCTTTCGAAACTATACAACTACTGCCTCAAGGAATCTTGTTTTCCTGACTGCTGGAAGTCCTCTTCGATCGTTCCTGTCTTCAAGAACTCCGGCGACCCCTCTGACCCTTCCAACTACCGTCCTATCAGTCTCCTTCCCCTCTTCGGCAAAGTCTTCGAAGCTCTAATCAATACCGGGGTAGTTAACCACCTCACATCCCATAATCTGCTCTCTGACAAGCAATATGGTTTCCGTTTTGCCCGATTTACAGCCGATGTGCTCACAGCCATCACTGAAACAGTCTACCGAGCTTTCCAAAATAATGGGGAAGCCCGAGCCGTGGCACTTGACATCTCCAAAGCATTTGATAGGGTTTGGCATGCCGGCCTTCTGCGCAAACTCCAGTGTTATGGCATTAGGGGTCGATTATATAACCTAATACAATCATTCCTGTCAAACCGTGAATTGAAGGTCGTTCTCAACGGATTCTCCTCTAGTTCCTATCCCACGAACGCAGGTGTTCCTCAAGGCTCCATCCTAGGCCCCACTCTATTCCTTATCTACATAAATGAACTTCCTGACGCCGTAACTTCCCAAGTAGGCATCTACGCGGATGACACCACAATTTATTCCTGCCTCAAAAACAAATCTAGTCTCGCTGACATAACTCACCTGGTCGTGCGTCTCGAAAAGGACCTCCAATCGATTGTGAACTGGGGCATGAATTGGCTGGTCAACTTCAACGCTTCGAAGACAAAACAGCTCTCTATTAATCACCACAGAGATCCTTCCCTTCCCTCCATTATAATGTCTGACGCTCAACTTCTCGAGAGCAACTCTCTGCGGCTTCTCGGTCTCACGTTGACTTCTGACCTGAGATGGAATAAATACATCGAGTCAATTGCCTCGTCCACTGCGAGGAAAGTTGGCTCCCCTGGGCCGCGCTTAGAATTTTTTCTCCCTGAGTCGATCCTCCAGATATACAAATCCACAATTCGCCCTTGCATGGAGTATTGCTGCCATATATGGTCTGGCGCCCCTTCTGTTTGCCTCAGGGTTCTTGATAGGCTCCAGAGGCGGATATGCAATATGGTTGGCCCTGCCCTGGCGTCTCGTCTACAGTCACTTTCTCACATACTTGCCGCCGCCTCCCTCTGTCTGTTCTACAAATACTTTCATGGAAATTGCTCCGAGGAGCTGCATTCGCTGGTTCCCAGACGTCATGAGTTCCAGCGCCTTACGAGGCTGGCATCCCGCTCTCACCCCTTCACTGTCGAAACTCCTAAATGTAGCCGTCTCTTCTCCTCCAGTAGCTTCATGTCTCGCACCTCTCGCCTGTGGAACTCCCTTCCCTTCTCCTGTTTCCCTGTGAGCTATAATCTCCAGCTATTCAAGTGTAATGTCAATCGACATCTCCAGTTGCCTTGATCTATCCACTACCCTCATCTTTTCTTCTATCACTCCTATCTGATCTTGCTATTTCCTGTAACCCCTTGCATCCTAGTGGCTTCCCGCCTTGCTTGGGGTGAAACGGTTAAAAAAAATATCCTTATCTATCTATCTATCTATCTATCTATCTATCTATCTAATGATCGATCGATCAATTTGTGTGTTTTTCTATGCATCTGTCTATATTTCGAATTAGATGAATCACGGAAGCAACATTTATATCTACTACTACTGCACATACACACACGCGCGCGCGTTTGTGTGTATGTGTGTGTATGTATAAAAAGAAAGGAGAGAGAGATAAATAAAGAGAAAATTAACATAATTAAAAATTTTATCAATTAGCTGACTGATGTTACCTTCAGCATCCCGACTCCAGAGTTTCGACGACGGACCATCCGAGAATTACACTGTTTACTTGTCAGGGTGGGAGGATCCGCAAATGATTGCTTACAATTCTCGATTTTTCTTTTTTATATGCACTTTTCATTAGTGCAAGCTTTTTTAGTGTAAGTGAGCGTGTGTGCGTTCGCACGCGCGCGCCCATGTACCTTTCTGTGTGTATGCGCCTATATATATATTAACTGTTTTAAAATATGGTATTTTCGCTACACAGTAATAACCATGTTCAAAAATGGAAGCTAAAAACTTCAAATTTAATTTTGTAATTAAATCGAAAGCATTAGTTCCATTTCATCTTCAAGATTCCAATATTCGCTTGAAGATGAAATAGAGCTAATGCTTTTTAATTAAATTTGAAGTTTTTAGCTTCCATTTTTGAAACATGGTTATTACTGTGTAGCAAAAAACATATTTTAAATCAGTTAATTATAATGCTGATGCTCTGTAAATTTACATTGAGCACTGTTTTGTAAAAATAAAAATAAAAAATATCAATAAGATCTCCGGATTATAT